CTTCTTGGTGAACCGAAGGTATAGTGAAAATGGGCACCCGGTTAGAAACCTATTCCAATAGAGCATCATTTTTCTATTTTTCGAATGTTGACAAGCATAGATAGTACTGGAGAAATGAGATGCAAGTCCAAGATTAACGTGAACAAGTAAGTGAATGTTGTTGACAAGCGTTCTAAAATAAGCACTGAGTGACAGGAAAATGATATCTACTTCCGAAGCCTAGCTAATGCTGAGTTAGTAGCTGGGTAGAGCTGGTAGAGAACTTAGGAAGAGTAGCATACGTCGCACCATCTAATGACCATTCCAGAAAGATCTAAGTACCAGAAAGTAGATAATGAGTAAAATCTTTTCTCCTTTAAATATCTAAGAAATGTATATTTTACTGATTTTGAAACATTTAGATTTATGTATTACTGCAGTGTTTGCTTATGCCAAAATCATTAGTCTCATTTTTGAATCTGTAACTCCATTTGGTGTTATTTCTGCAGATATCAGCAAGGTACTTTAAGGCACATCACCATAAAATTTTCCAAAACATCAAAAATATTATTGATTTCTTACACCGCCAAGGACTGGACCTGTGTCATCCATAGCTTACAAACCCAAATAATCCTCTAAGTTCATAAAACGCAACAATAAGAATATCCACTCTCACCCTCATACTATACAGGAGTGCCTTTAGAAAACACACGTAAATATATCCATTTATTGAGGCAACCCTAACTTTTCGCGTACTACGGCCTATGAACTACTTCATACTGTGCAATGTGTGACAGATGCATCAGTACTACCTACTCAACACTATGTACTATGAAATGAATTCATAAAATGTATGCTGTACTATGAACTGCACTATGAATGAGAACTTGTAAACTGTGAATCGTGTAACGAAAAAACTAAACAAACAACAAACCACATACCATAATCACTTCCCCCCCCCCCGCCAACAAAGCTCCAAACCAAAACACAAAAGAAATATGTATATACATCTGTAAATAACTTATTGTAATTATTGTATCTATCCATCCAACTGCAGCAAAGTACCCATGTAAAGTATATCTGAGACAATATTGTATGCAATGCAAATTATGCACCATTAATATATAACTGTGTATTATGAATGCTGCAATGTAAACTAATTCCCGAGCATGGTGTTACTGTGCCCGGTCAGGGTACACTTTCTGTAGATGGTTAGTGCAGTGGGGCGATACCAGTTTTGCCCATGGCGATGTTTTGGTGCCTCCTGTACTTCTTTCTGTCTGTCTACCAGAAAAGACCAGTTTCATTAGCACTGTAGATTTATTATAAAATTTGATAAAATTATCTGCAAATTATTCTTATCTATTAGCTGAAGATTTTTTACCATTTTGAACTTCCCTATATAATGATTTCAACATTCAGTTAACCAACTTGTCAAATATGTACACTCAGTCTATTTTCTTATGAAATATTTTGGCTTGAGTCATTAACATTGGATCTGTCAGTGACATTCCTTGACTTCAAAGCCGTTTTGCTTATTCAATAATTTTCTAATGATCGTCACTTTTAGTGTTTAGAAAGGGTTTTTTTTTTTCTGTAATTCCATTGCACGTAAGATTTAGAATGCACAACAAATTCAAAATGTTATTTTTCTTTTTCTTTCTTTCTTCTTTTTCAGTGCCACACGCTGTTGACTTTCTAATGCCATACTCCTTGCATAATTTTCAGATGGATATGCCTTTCTCCATTTATAGTAGCTGTTTCACTTTTTGCTTGTTTGATATTGAAACACACTTTCTCTTTGCAGCTCCAGAATTAGGAACTCTTTACAACATAACCGAAAATTCAAACTGTAATTTTGATAAGGTAGTTGTAATAATAACATCTAAAAAGGAAAAGTGCAATTTGTTATGTTATTCTTTATTCCTAGGCTTTGTGAAGAGGAAAAGTTGGAAAAAAAATAAGAAAGAAATGATTTCGCCCCCTGAAGGTCTGGATATTCGATGGATATTTTTTATTTAATAAATTTTATTGAAACCTTCAAAAGATAGATTTTATTATAGCTGTAACACTTTCTTATACTTGACTTAATAGTAAAAAAAAAAAAAAAAAAAAAAAAAAAAAAAAAAAAAAAAAAAAAAAAAAAAATAAGGTGACATTTTGCAGAAGACTAAGGGGGAAAAAACAGTTGCATATACCAAAATCTCCATCATATAATTATGCTGCATATTATGTGATGGAGATTTTTGTACTTTTGACTTCCTATGCTTCCAAGAAAAGTTGCCACTTCATTTGTGATTTAATAAACTGGCAGAAAATGTTTATCTTTACAGTGAGTAATTATAAAAAGAAGTCTTTTCACTTTTTGCTTGTTTGATATTGAAACACACTTTCTCTTTGCAGCTCCAGAATTAGAAACTCTTTACAACATAACCGAAAATTCAAACTGTAATTTTGATAAGGTAGTTGTAATAATAACATCTAAAAAGGAAAAGTGCAATTTGTTATGTTATTCTTTATTCCTAGGCTTTGTGAAGAGGAAAAGTTGGAAAAAAAATAAGAAAGAAATGATTTCGCCCCCTGAAGGTCTGGATATTCGATGGTATTTTTTATTTAATAAATTTTATTGAAACCTTCAAAAGATAGATTTTTATTATAGCTGTAACACTTTCTTATACTTGACTTAATAAAAAAAAAAAAAAAAAAAAAAAAAAACCCTACAAAAAATAAGGTGACATTTTGCAGAAGACTAAGGGGGGAAAAACAGTTGCATATACCAAAATCTCCATCATATAATTATGCTGCATATTATGTGATGGAGATTTTTGTACTTTTGACTTCCTATGCTTCCAAGAAAAGTTGCCACTTCATTGGTGATTTAATAAACTGGCAGAAAATGTTTATCTTTACAGTGAGTAATTATAAAAAGAAGTCTTTTATGAGATATAAATTTTATGGAAAAAAAGTGGATCTGTATAATTGATATGTACACTGTACTGAAATACGTATATGTTGCATGTAGCTGTGGAATGTCTGTTGTCAAACCTATACTTGAAAGCATTGCCAAAAACAAAGAAATTCTGCTGAAAGTTTTAACTGAAAAACATTGCTTTAGTGGTTTGTAGTTTGCTATTTAAAAAGAACCTTATTTTGCATGAACGTATCTACAATGAAAAGTCTATAGCTAGTGGCCGAAAACTTTGCAAAACATTTTTTAAAACAGATTTTAATGAAGATGTATATTCATACATATAAGTGTATAAAAAATGTTCATGATGCAAATCTTATTTAGCATATACTACATGCTTATGTACAGTAAAATCAGTAGAACCTCGATTATCTGAAGTAATCGAGACCTTCACCTCAGATAATCAAAAACTTGGCTAACAAAAATGAAACTGTAGGTCATGTGCATTTTTCTTTTGGCAATTTTTTAAAAACTTCTATATTAAATTATAAAAATAAATCATTTTAAATAATATTTTATTTATAAATCAAAATTTTGTCTTTCAATTAAGCAAATAATCTGTACAATATTTTATTTTATGACAAAAATATTCATGAAAACTTTGGAAAAAACATTGATCAAAATTTAAGTAAATTGCAAAATCTTTTCAACTTTATTAGAAGCATTGTTATGAGACATTAGCATTTTATTAGTTCTGTATTGTATTTATGGGGGAAAAAATCCTGCTGTCCTTTTTTATGACAGTTCTCTAAAGCTATCATCTGCAGCATGATTATTTCACTTTTTGAATCAACTAAAGGTCTATAAATGAATCATCAAGACAATACTCTAAATATTAAACAACTTTGTTTAAGGTTTCACATTGTTGATGTGTTATTTTCTACAGTTAGCCATTTTGAAATTTCATCTTAATGATGTCTTAGCATCTTTTTATCTTTTCAAATATATCTACAAGTTCATTGTCTGTTGATGTCTGATTCTTAATGCTGTTTTCACATGCAAATCACATTTTTAACATAACCTATTCTTAACAGATGTAAATCACACCTTTTATTATAATGCAAAATGGAAAGCCATTAAATGACCCATACAGTTAAGAAAGACTAAAAGTCCAATAGTGATAAGAGATTTATAAATATTAATGACTTTTGTTGTAAATGTTATTACATTTTCCCAGCATTTTCTTTAAATTGACTGCCATCTTAGATTATAAAGGCCTCGGTTGACAGAGATCTGGTTAAATTTTTCTTTAGAGATCACAGCTTATAATTTTAAATGTGGTGCTTTCTTAGTTTCTTCAATGATGTGAATATCATGTTAATGAATGGAAGTTTATGAAAACATGGACTTGAATAAGTAATTAGGCAAATTTATTTATTAAATGCTGTATCAATTCATGTCTTCTTGAGCAGATTCAAAAACCCATGCCACTCAGAAAGTTAATAGAGGTTACTTATAGTAGGTACTCAATTGTATTTTCTACTTTTGTATTTTGTTGCTTTTGTAATTTGTTAACTAAATGGCTAAAAATAACATATGATGTTAAGTTTTGGAGCTATGTATGTGTATATATATTTTGTTACTTCCTTGTTAAAACACCCAACAATGTTAATACCCAAAACTGACAAACTTAATCTTCCACTCTGTAATGTGAAAATTTCAAATGTTGCAAAAGTTATGTGGTAGACACTTTAATAAACCTTTTTTTTTTTTTAACAGAATGTAAATATTTGATTTATTATTGCAGATTGAATTCTTCTAAAATGCAAATGGCCTTATAACATAAGTTTATTTGTAATCTCATGCCATACATGAAAATAAAGGAATATATATTTTCATCATTAATGATATAAATGTATGCTTACTTTTCTAACATTAGGTTTCTCAGTCTGTCTAATGTATTCTAAAATTTAATTTGGGGCAAAATGCATCTAAAATATTTTTTAGCTTTATAATTTTATTATTGAGACATATTAGAAGTCCAACTGCTGTTTTAATTAGCAGCAGAGAAATAAGACTATGTATTTTTCCCTTGATTTCTTTATCTTCTGAGATTAAAAAAAAAAAAAAACTCACTGGATGTTTTAGTGTCATCATTGCCACAGGGGTGGCACAGTGTTCCTGGGTCTTCACGGAATTCTGCATCTACGGCTTCTGCTTCAGCAGCTTCCTCTGTGCCAACTATAAGAAAGAAGTGGAATTCTCCTTTATCATCTGAAGTACCTCGAAGCAAACTTCCATCATATAAATCATCAAATTTAAGGTTACAAAATGGTTATTCAAGCAGTACAGCTACTTCAAGGATCTCAAAGTCATCTTGTACTGCTCCTCAAAGTATTATTTTCATATATTTTATTTTAATATCTAAGTGTCTGCATAAGATTATAGTTTAACTTATCTTTATATGAAATGAATATATAATAAAGGCTTCTCAAACTGAGTAGTGCTAAGATACATTTGGATAATAGACTTTTTTGTTACCTTGTGTCAAAGCCAATGATTTATTTCTGCAAAATGCAAATTTAATTTGAACATTATGCATTTCATTTTGATAATAAATTATTTCTTCATATAAATGAGTAAAAAAATTATATAAATATTTTGTAGTTGTTTAAGATTTTGAAATATCTGCAGGTATAGCAATTTGAGTGTTTTCCACATTGTTTATTTTGTTATTTTCCTCAACTTCATTTATGTTTTTATTTCAAGCAGTGGAATTATTTCATCTTTCTTTTGCAATGCAAAACTGGATATTTTTTATTAGCATTCATTGCTTATCTATATCATACTTTACTGCAGTGACTCAGTCTCTGAATTTCCTTCATCATGCTATAATCCATTTCATAGTCATTTATGTATATTTCCCGTCATTTCCAACTGTGGTTGTATTTTTGATATGAAAGTTTCTCAAACTCATCCCTCCTATCCCAAATATGTAATTAAAGTCACTGTCATTTACTTGGTAGCTGTAATTGTGGATGTTTTCTTCTCATGATTTTTAGCTACTGTTTTCGCAGTTCTGAGAGTTATTTTAATTATTAAATTATCCTCAACTTAAAGCACAGTTCTTTTGCATTTAGGTAGCATACTGCGAAAACAGATTTTTTTTTTTTTTATCTCACAAAACAAAAATAAAAAGAGAAGTAAGATAGGATAGGCAAAATACATATGAAGGTAATTACAAATGACAGGGATCCAAGAACTAAACTGATGTGTACTGGATGAGGAGGGAGTTCAGTTGAGACAACGTTTCGTGCAACACATGATAAAACATTTCACAAAAGCTTCACACCACATCAACCTTCTAACAGTCTTTTTACCTTTTGTTACCATTGCAGCACATTGCAAACAATGGTAAATTAATGAAATGAGGAGCCCAAATCCTCTGAACTCTTGAGTGGCCCCTTATCTTAAGCTATAAGATCTATTTAATATGTTTTGGAAACTAATTCATAATGTAGGGCATCTGTGTGACTTGGCAAGTATTCACAAGAAAGACCACAAGATCTTTTATTTGTCATCTATACTGGCTTATGGACTGCCAGGTATCAAAGATTCTATCATTTGATATACTGCTTAACTAGCTACGTGATATAAAAGCAATATATATATATATTAATAATGTAGTTTTTAATATTTAGTAATTAACAAAAGGTGTTTTAATTATGTTCCATATTGTACTCTTTTATACAGAAAATCATTTCTAACCTCTGTAATGACAAGCTTTTAAAATATTTGTAACTTGTGCACTTTCTTTAATTTCAGATTTCAACAGTAAATTTTGCATTTTTTAAACTTATATATATATTGGAGTAAAAAATATAATTTTCAGAATTAATGGTACTATAGGGATTGTGTCTGTAACTAAATGTAACTTGTGGCAAATCCTCCAATTGACGTGTGTTGCTTAGTCTAACAGGAAACAGAACTTAAAAAGAGTGTAAAAGAGCCTTTTATTTAAAACTAAGTAAGTTGAACAGGAGGTACAGCTGGTGCTTACAAATCAGCCAGCATTTATGGTATAAACTCAAGAAGTAGAATTTTAAATTAAATCTAATTAAACGAAGGTATGCAGAAATATTTAAATGAGGAACTTGGTTGTTAAGTCTACACTAGCATGACAGCACTATCCTCAAGAATAAAGCAATGCCATAGATAGCAATCCTTAACTTAGAATAAATAACAGCAGTTTTCAGCAGGCAGAACACCCTCTGACTAAAGCAATCCCAAACCCTCACTTAAATATGTGCGAGTTAAATTTGGATTCTGGCAGGAAAATGGAGAGTGAGAAATGACAGTACAGATTCAGAACATAAAATAACTGGTTAACATAAATAATCCTTATACTTTAAAAATTAAAAATTAATGAAATACTCATTATGTATTGATCTTTAATTTTTGTTTCAGTAACATATAAATGTATAAGCTTATTTAATTCTTAATATAATTTTCATGGTCTTAGTGCCACTAGAGTAAATTTTTTAAGTAAATATTTGCAAGGTATTGTAACTTAAGAGTAGAATAGTTCTTTTTATTTCGTAAAAGAATGGGGAAATTCTTGCCTAATTAAATCTCAGAGATTAATAAAGAGTGTGGCTATGTAAAATCATCACTGAGCTTACAGTCATTGCATTTTTTAACTGATAAGAGCAGTATTATAGTTAAAATATCATTTTTATATAATTTAGTATTTCATTGCAGTTTTTTCATAAAAATCTTAAAAAGTGAGTAATAGTTATTTGATTGGTAGATAATATGAAAATTTTTTGGCTAAGATGAAAAGTTGTCATTGATGATATATAAAGGAATGCTGTTTTATATTTACAGTATGTATGAGAAAAAACACAATCATGTGCTTTGGTGCCTTGGGTTTGAGACTGCTTTAGTCAGAGTGTGTTCTGCCTGCTGAAGGCTGTTGTTTTTTTCGAAGTCAAGTATTCCTGTTTACAGCATTGCTTTATTCTTGCAGACAGTGCTGTCATGTTGGTTTAGATGTAATAACCAACTTCTACATTTAAATATCTCTACATAGCCTTTGGCTAATTAGATTTAGTTTTAATTTAAAATTCTACTTTTTGAGTTCTTGCCATAAATGCTGTCTGATTTGTAAGCACTAGGTATGCCTTCTATTCAACTTTTAATTTAATTTTAAATAAAAAAGGCTTTTACATTTTTCTCGAGTTCTGTTTCGTATTTGACATAAGCTGCTTCTTTTGAGATTTGCTTTTGGAAGTTTTTCAGTTTACAGTAATTTTATATATTTTATTTACTGCCTGCAAATATTAGCTTTATTAGAATAAAAGTTTGCTTTTTATATAAAACTGGTACATATTTCTACAAAAATTTAGCAATGTAATAACTTAATTTTGATTTCCTAAGTTGTGTATATCAGATCAGAAATTTCTGATTTGGAAAAATTCTGGATTTCGTTTCAGAATTCAGTTTTTAAAATCTTCTGTTTGTCATTATAGTTCTATGAGAATAAAATTTTAATTTTAGCATATCAACTATGTCTAACTTCTAATAGAATCTCTGAAGTGTATACTCATTACTCATTTAGCTCACCTAGTGCTACTGGTATGTGTTTGGCTTTGAAATTCCAAATTTTCTCAGAATGTCATGAATAAGTGGTATTTTCTTGATTATAATTTAAAAATGATCATCTCACATTTTATCTTGACTTCTTTTCTTCCAATTATACAAAGGTCGAGTACTTCAGAAGTTGGCAGAAATTTTCATGTATAATGAATTGGAAAGCCAGCCTTCTATATGTTATGTCTGTAACTTCTGGAGGGTTATATGTTAAAAATTGCCTCTGTGTAGAAATATACTTGAGCATTTTTTCCCTAATGATATTACTCATTCATCTTTTATGGCCAACCAATAGATGAGGGATAAAATTGCTGAGCACTAGTAGTTCAACCCAGGTTTAATCTCAGTAGACATGCTGGCTGCTTGGGACTTTTATTGGTTTTTCCATGTATGATGTGAATATGAAGAAGCTCTCTTTAAAATGTCCTGTATAAAGACATCTCTTCCATTAGTCATTGTGAGCTTTGCTTCAATGATTCAATTCATTTCAGTTATCTTTTATACAATTCAGTATTCAAGGTTTGAAGTACATTACACCAAAATTTTAGTTCTCACACATATCAATTTCTAAAGACATTAATTGTTCTCTTTCTGAAGGGTCACTAATTATACCTTGAGCATATTATTGCTGAAGGTATATTATTGTCTTTTCAGACAAATTGTAGTTCTACATATAGCATAATGATGAATTTATTCATGCCGGGAGACACCAAGGAGAACAAACATTGCCAGCTTTCATTCATCATTACTATACGGGCCCAGTATCTGGTGTGCTCCCTAGTAATGCACTGGTACACACATCTTGTTCCCATAGATAGTAATATAGACAGCTCCTGTTAGGTCCATGGCTGTGCCCAATAGTTTTGGCTTTCATGACACCATCTTTCAAATAATGCACAACTGTATGTTGCCCATGCTATCCTAATCTTAAATACAGAAGATATTCGAATGTTGCTCTGGCCAGCATGCTTTCCAGATCTGTCATCCACTGAGAACATTTGGTCATCAGTTACTAAGAGACTGACATGCCATCATTCTCTGGCTACTATTATTGATACTCTGATGTAAGAATTGAAGCTACTTGGAATGAAGTCATTCATGTTCTGTCATTCAAATTCAATTCAATTAAATATCTAGTCAGATTACAGCCATTGTTGCTGCTGTTCAAGATTTGCTTGTATGATAAAGTATTGATAATATTTCTTCAGTATATGCTTATATACTTTATTCATCATTAATATGTATACCTTATAAATTATGAATAAAAATAATCCTCTAGTATATACAGACTCGCATATTATCAGTGAATGATAATCTAATAAAACAATGTACTGAAATGCATTAGAATTTTGATAGCTCACATATTTTAGTAAGTAGAATTGAATATAGAAATGCAGAATTTAAAAAATAATGTTAAATTTTCAAAAAGTGTAATTTTTAATTATTTGAAATTTCTGTCTGTTCCCTTTATTTGTGCCTTATTGGCATTGTACTGTATTGAATCAATTAGCTGAAAATTTAATATTTGAAAAAGAACTTGAATAAATGCTTGTTTGTGTAAACATTCATTCAAAATTTTATCTTCAGGTCAGTTGCCATCATGTCCTCCAAAACCATCTCCTATTAAAGAATATCAGAGTGAAATAATAAAATTAAAAAAGGTATGAATTAAAAAAAAATTTTTTTTTTTTTTTTTTGGTTCTGTAATCTGCATTATTTTATCCTCTCTTTGTGCAGGAAATGAATTTTCTTTCCTCCTCTTTTCCTTTTTTCTTTTCTTTCCTTTTTCTTTCTTTCTAGAATTGTATATATGTAATGAAATTGTGGTTTGAAGGTGTCAGAGTGGGAAGCATGATGACGCAATTTAGCACAACATATCTTGAAAAATCGCAATCTTTATTTTTTCCATGCATATCAAATAATCCTTTTCAGACAAGATATTTCTTAATAATATTTGAATAGAATAACTCCCATTTTGAAGTACGATGTCATCTTAAGCAAGTAAGCGGCAGCAGCATGGATGAAAAAGCGTCTTACCAGCGGGAGAGCTAACGCGGGAAAAGGGAGAGGTTATAGTACTTTCATAGCAAGAAGGCTGAAGTTTCAGTTCACAGTTTTGGTTTAGAATTAATTTGATTGAACGAGAGGCATCTGCATTAAAATGTTACATAAGATAGAAAAGTCTGGAACCTGTGAGAAGAGATGAATTTAGGGGCAGATTACCAAATTTAGAATGTTAATTTTGAGATCATCAATTATATTTTGAAACAGCTTACATATCCCCCCTTTCAAAAGAAAAGTTGGGTGAGCAGGGTGGAAGAACAAGCATTAGAGCAGCAAAATGTGAAAGATATAATTTTGAAAATACAAACATTAACTTTTAAACAAAAAATTATTGTCATAAAAAATTTTTGACCGATATTTTGAATCAATTTTGACATTTCATTTTCATTTTAATGTCATAAAATTTTGAATTCAATAATAATTTTAGACACTGTACTCTTTTTAAAACAATTGCGCATTTTAGTGTTCTGAGATAAGAATGTCCAATGAAATTTTGTAAAGTTCTTGAAAGTTTCCACATGGTTAAAAGTTCAAATTTTTTTCACAAACTAAATGTTCAAATAAAATTCTTTCAAATTTTTGTTGATGAAAATATTTCTATTATATTACAAATTAAGATGCCAATTTTCATGTTATTTAATTATGTTTTTTGTAAGGAAGGCATTTTAAAATATAAAAATTTTGTAAAACATCATTCATAAACACAATTTCAAATTTTCCACTATTATTAAGACATTTAAAATTTACTTATTCTTTACAAAACTTGAAGATTCCACAACTTTATCTAAATACTAGCATTTCCATCATATTGGTGTATCAGTTGTGCAAACTGGTGTTTAATATTCTTCACCAGTGGCCAAAAGATTTGCCAAATTAGCAGTTACTGTAGAAAAGGCCTCCGTTCCTTCTATAGAGCTAACTGGCCTTTTTCGAACTGCTGTCATTCCATACGAATATTAAAAACACACTCCATTTTATGAAAAAATAAAAATACTTAGATTTAAAAAAATGTATTTTTTCATAAGGTGAGAGCCTTCAACGTTTATCATAAAAACATTAAAGAAATTCCTACAACTCAAAAACAATACTTTCGTTCTTAACATACAGTAAAAATTAAAAAAACATTTTTAAACAATAGTACAAAAATATTATACACATTAGAAACCTTCCCTAAGTAAATCATTCCTAATTTTTACCAATTTCAATAATTTCTTTTTCCCAATTCAGAAATACAAAACTACATTTTAAATAAACCATAATATTTTTGAATTATTAACATTGATCTCAATATGATTTAAGCAAAATATTACCATTAATAAATCATAAAACAATAACTTAAAAATGCAACTTTTTTTTTCTTTTCCGAAACGAAATAAACTCAATTTGGATTAAATAATGACTTTAACTTTTTTATACAGCTTACGATACTGCGTAGATGACCGAGAAGACCGTAGTGGCTTGATTGAGAATTCAGATGAATAGTTACCTTTTTTATTTTATCCATTCGTTAAACGATGTGAGATTAGTTGAAATAAACTGCACTGAAGTTCTACGCCTGTAGGATCGAAAATCGGCTGCGCCATATTATTGTAATGGAACTGTGGTTTGAAGGTGTCAGAGTGGGAAGCATGATGACGCAATTTAGCACAACATATCTTGAAAAATCGCAATCTTTATTTTTTCCATGCATATCAAATAATCCTTTTCAGACAAGATATTTCTTAATAATATTTGAATAGAATAACTCCCATTTTGAAGTACGACGTCATCTTAAGCAAGTAAGCGGCAGCAGCATGGATGAAAAAGCGTCTTACCAGCGGGAGAGCTAACGCGGGAAAAGGGAGAGGTTATAGTACTTTCATAGCAAGAAGGCTGAAGTTTCAGTTCACAGTTTTGGTTTAGAATTAATTTGATTGAACGAGAGGCATCTGCATTAAAACGTTACATAAGATAGAAAAGTCTGGAACCTGTGAGAAGAGATGAATTTAGGGGCAGATTACCAAATTTAGAATGTTAATTTTGAGATCATCAATTATATTTTGAAACAGCTTACATATATATATACTATATATGGTATATTACAGAAATTGGGTATATTTTTTAGAATATTTGACTTTTTGATTAAGATCATTATTTTTAGAATATTTACTAGAAGGGGGAGTTTAAGATGATATCCTAGGGTAAATAACATTTCCAAACGTTTTCCACACCACAGACATTTAATGAAAATAGCAGAAAAGGTACAGATTCACAGTATTGTTGGATACAAACAAAATTCTGCAGCACTGTTACATATTTTAAATAGCTGCTTAGTGCCTACTTGAGCTGCACTATTGTATATAGTTCTTCAATCACCACCTTCACGTGGAATCATACAGTTCTATAGTTACCACCTTCGCGTGGAGACAACATCTTACCACCTTCGCGTGGGATCGACATCTGTCTATATGTCATCCTCCTCTTTCACCTCGCTCTCGCTGAAGGCGCATAGGTGATGTCCTCTGGTGGCTGTGTAGAACTAACTGTTACCACAGTTTCTGCGATCCTGACTTTGTTTTCGCCTTCAAAAACATGGATCAGCGACACTGATACATCAAGACAGCATCTGAAAATAAAATTAAAAAAAAAAAAAAGAAAAGGAAAGGAAAGAAAAAAAAAATAAAAAGAAAGAAGTGCAAAAAAACCACACACAGTCCACACAGGAACAGTCCAAGGCTTTATGTGATTGGCTGCTGTAGTGGTACTGCCAAGACCTTCATGGTGTCCTATTTTTTCCACCTGGTACCGATCTTTGCCTTTCCTCACTGTTACACAATACGGACCGAAGAACTTGGGCCTTAACTTTAGACTACCTCCATATTGCGTTCTTTGTATGGCAACTAGGCCGTTCACATTGTATTACCTGTGCCTCTTTTCTCTTCTTATTGTATGTTTTTCTATTCTCTTCCTGAATTTTAAAAATGTTTTCTCTTGCTTCTTCTCTCATATCTTTTTGATCTTTCAACATAATATGTCTTTCTTCTTCTTCGAGAATTTCCATAATCTTTAAGTTCTCTTGATTTTTCATTTTAACACTAATGAGGAGCTCAAATGGAGAACTCTTTGTGCTTCTGCTCTTGGTGCTATTCAAGATCCGTTGTACATCTCCAACATATTTGTACCACGTGGTTGGATCATCTATGGATAATTTGGATAGGACTGGAATCAGAGTGAGATGAATTTTTTCCACTTGTCTATTTCCTCTAGGTGCCTGTAGTTGTAAATATGTGCTGGATCTTCTCTTGACTACAGTAATCTTCAAAGTCTTTAGAGGTAAACACCGTTACCTTTGTCGCTTATAATTCTCAAAGGATTACCAAAAGTTGATTGTTGCAGTTTCAGCTTCTGCAATGCCTCTTGACCTGATGTAGACTTTACTGGATAGAGCCATGTGAACTTTGTGAATAAATCAACCACGGTTATGATATGATTGTAGTTCTTATTTGTCGAAGGTAATGGTCCTATAAAATCGATATGAAAAGTGCTCAAAGGGATACTATCTTTTGGTATGGGATTCAGCAACCCTTTGCCTTTACATTGTTTTCTGTCACACAAAATACATTCTATGCAATTTGAGATAACTTTTTCAATTCGTTTTTTAAGGTGAGGAATATGAAAGTCTATTTTCAGCAGATCTTCTATTTTAGACACTGCGAAGTGACCCTTGTTGTGGATACTACGTATGATTTCTAGCTCTAATGCTTCGGGTACCACAAGTAACTCACGACCACTGTCGAACTTGTATAATACTCCATTTGTCACTAAGAAATCTTTCTTTAGTCCTTGCTCGACTAAGGATTTTAGCAACTGGAGACTCTCATCACTTCTTTGCGCAACTGCAATTTTGGCTGTAACTTCTCCCGGAGAACAAGTAACCATCATGACAGTGTTTCTACTTAACGAATCCACCTGTTTCATTTGCTGCCCAGATCTGTGAACAATTTCATAGTCAAATTCTTCTAGAAGTAACGCCCATCTCACCACTTTAGAGGTTAAATCTTTCTTGAACATAGTCTCCTGGAAAGCATCACAGTCAGTAATTATTCTGACCTTAGATCCTAAAAGGTAATTCCTGAATTTCTTTAGAGCTTCTACTATAGCTAAAACTTCAAGCTCATAACTAGATAGCTTCTATTGTTGGAGGCTAGTTTTTTGCTCATGAAGTAAATGGTGTGTAACTGTCCATCATCTGACTTTTGTGCAATGCAGCGCCGAAACCATGACTGCTTGCATCTGTATGCAATTCTAATGGTGCTCCTTGTTTAAAAATATGAAGAATCGGACTTGTCGATAAAAGTTCTTTCAATTTATTAAATGCTTCTTTTTGTTCAGGCCCAAATTTGAATTCTGCTCCGTTACGAAGCAGGTCACTTAGTGGTTTCGCTACTTTTGAATAGTTAGCAATAAATTTCCTGAAATACCCAGTAAGACCCAAGAAACTCTGAATCTGCTTAAGGTTTTTGGGTTCTGGGAAATTTTGAACAGCCCTGGTTTTTTCAGTAGAGGGGCGAATTGTGCCATCCTCAGTAACAAACCCGAGAAATTCTATTTTTCTTTACAAAAATTGGCATTTCTTAAAATTGATCTCCAAACCGTATTCTTTGGCTACTTCTAAAATGCGTTTTAACTTTTCTAAACCTTCTTTCTCGTTTCGTGCTGGAATGATAAGTAACAACAGTGTCTTCCCGAATTAAATCTTTAAATACATTATAAATCTTTGGAACACAGTAGGGGATGTGCACAAACCAAAAGGTGCTTTTAGAAGTTCATACAAGCCCACATGTGTAATAAATGCCAAATATTTATTGCAGTTTTCCTCCGCTGGAACATGAAAAAAAAACCATTTTTTAAGTCTAATGTCGAAAAAAAGCTTTGCTTCACCCAAATGATCTAAAACCTCTTCTATTTGTGCCATGGGAAAAGAATCCTTAACTATTTTTTATTTAATTGCCTGAAATCAACACAAATTAGTGTCTTGCCACATTTTTTTCTACACAAAACAATTGGTGAAGCATATTCTGAGCAAGATTTCTTTATAATCCCATCCTTTAACTGTTCATCTATTTGGTCATCAACAATGTTTTGGTCAGCAAGAGGAATTCTCCTCAAACGCTGAGAAACTGGAATTTCATCTTTTAATATTACTTTCATTTTTAAGTCTGTACTGTGTGGCTTTTCTAGTGGTTTATACTCTTTAATAAAAGTGGAAACAGCATTGCGTAATCCTTTATCCTTAATGTGCAATAAATCTATTTAGCTGTCTCCTCAATGGCTGCAGAAATAAAAGACAAAAAATTCCTTTCTGAAGAGATGGTCTGTCTTTAATATTGCGTAATCATCACCCAATCAGAGCAGGTGCCAGCGAACATTTTTAGGCATTTTTAGGCATTTTTAGGCAGGACGGCAGCAGAATGCATTCTGTTATCAGCTCATAAATCATCACTGCCTCTACTTGTTTTTCGCTTTCACATAAAGAAAAAATAAACTTATCCATTTCCGCTTTAATTACATGACCAAAAGAACTTTTAATTTCTATTAATCCACATTGTATTTTATCCAGAAAAAGACAAAAAAGATTATTTTATTAGAAAAAGAGATTTCGTTACAACTATCAGTTCACTCCCAGAATCTGCTAAACATTTTATTTTCTTACCATCAATCAACAGTTCAATAAATTCTAACTTATTTTTAGCTGCGTAATCCGATAAAATCTTCAACTGGGATACCTTTTTTTGGGACAAATTTTCCTCCTTTTCCAAACGTTTGGAGCAATTTCTTGCAAAATGAAACAATTCACCCTTTACTCCCACGTATATAGCAAATATGTTCTGTTTTACTACTATTCTGATTTACAAGCTTGAACCATGAATCCTTCAAATTGCTCTGTGCTTTTCTAAGGTTATTTTTGGAAAAGTTAAGCTTTTTATTTTCTGGAGTTTCGATTCGTGACTGGTATCAGCTAAAGACTCAACCCCTGGATGAATAAAATAAATCACATCTCTTCCCAACTGATTAGGTGGGAACCAACTTTGGCCCTCCCGAACACTAATATGTTCCTTTCTTTTAGAATCAATAGTTTCATACAACTCATCAGATACAATGAGATCACACAATTTTTTAAAATCATCTACCTCTCTTAACTTACAATAATAACCGAAAGTTACACTGAAACGCGAACTGAACATGCGATTCAAATGAATGTCTCTGTGCATTTTAAAAATTATTCAAACATTCACGCGGTGTTGGCTGAAATTCTTTCAAGTTTAGTGCTTTTAATTTATCATAATCCATGCTTGTTCAGAAGCATACATTAAAATATTATTAGTTTAACCCCTAGCAAATTAATTAGTATCTCAGCTTGTAAGTCTTTGGGAGCTTCTTCTGTGGCAAAAGCTTTTTCCAATGAAATGAAAAACAAATGCAATGCCTCTGGCCGCTCAGGGACAGAAATTGTAATTGTTTTAATACTTTTCAGTAAACATTCAACACTAGTCTGCGCGTTTCTTCGATCACCTGATAATGATTGTGATTTTAAGTTTCTAGCTCAATCTGCTTCTAAATTTGGGCTAATTTAAGACGTTCAATCTCTAACAGATTGTGTTCGTTACTTGTTTTAGGCGTCCGATCCTCGGCGATCAATTTGACGACGCCACAGACAAATTCAACGTTTGATTTGAAGACATCAGAATTTTCGATAATTTTCCTAATGTCAGCTTTTTTAGCATTTTCTGGAACAGTCTTTAACCCCTAGCAAATTCATTTTAAAAATGAAACAGAAGTATCACTGTCTTGAACAAAGAAAGAAAGCAAAGTTTTCACAGTACCTTCTCTGAAGTATCCCAGACAGTCCCCCAGATTTTCTGTGGTTGGGGAGTTGAAGATGATATCCTAGGGTAAATAACATTTCCAAACCACAGACATTTAATGAAAATAACAGAAAAGATACAGATTCACAGTGCCGTTGGAAACAAACAAAATTCTGCAGCACTCTTACATATTTTAAATAGCTGCTTGGTGCCTACTTGTGCTCACTATCATATATAGTTCTTCAATTACCTCCTTCGCACAGAATCATACAGTTCTATAGTTACCACCTTTGTGTGGAGATAACATCTTACCACCTTCGCATGGGATCGACATCTGTCTATATGTCATCCTCCTCTTTCACCTGTCTCTCGAGGAGAGCTCTCCTCGAGGTTGTCTCCACGCAAAGGTGGTAACTATAGAACTGCAGGTGCATAGGTTATGCCCTCTGGTAGCTGTGTAGAACTAACTGTTACCACATGTATATTACAGAAATCAGGTATATTTTTTAGAATATTTGACTTTTTTATTAAGATCATTATTTTGCAGGTAGGATAATTCTTTTCTACATTTTTCATATTATATATATTGATTGGTTATTGTATCTAGTTTATTTATATTCTTTTGTGCCTACATCTAACTGTATCTGTTAATATCATGCAGCAGTTTGCATATTTTGCCTATCCTGCAGGAATTAGCTACCATGAAAGCGGAGAATTCCATTTTGAAAGCCAAAGTTCGAAGAGTGGATGATGAAAATGTTCAGAAAACAAAGCAAATTGAAAAATTAAGGGTAGAATTAAAAGCATTGCAAAAGGTAATTTTTTTCTTTTTCAGAATTTTTTTTTTTTTTTTTTTTTTTTTTTTTTTTTTTTTTTTTTTTTTTTTTTTTTTTTTTTTTTTATTTTTTTTTTTTTTTTTTTTTTTTTTTTTTTTTTTTTTTTTTTTTTTTTTTTTTTTCAGTTTTTTTTTTTTTTTTTTTTTTTTTTTTTTTTTTTTTTTTTTTTTTTTTTTTTTTTTTTTTTTTTTTTTTAATTTTTTTTTTTTTTTTTTTTTTTTTTCCTATCTGTTATTCAAATTCTTTCATAAAACTGTATAATGGCTTCGTTTTAGAGCAGAATAGTTTATTTGACATTATGATAAGGTGGAAAAAAGCATATTTTAGAAATTTAATAAAGATTTAAAAAAATTTATAGCTTTTAACACTTATCTAGCGCTTAACTATTTCATCTTAAAAATCTGAATAGATGTTACATAGATTCTGCTGGTGAGTTATCACCTATAGTATAGCTAAACTGTTAAAACAAACAAACACAGATATACTTTAAATTAGAACTTAAAGTAAAATTACTTTTATAAAATGTGAAATAGATTGTGGCTGTAAAATTGTCTTAAACAAAAAATTTAGATAAAATTAACAGATTTCTTTTCTGCGTAATTTAAGTGGAATTTAAATATACATATTTGGTAAAACAGATATATAGAGACATTTATGTACTTTTGCACTAAAATTTTATTTATATTGCAGTAAGTGTCATCTATGTTTATAATATTATAATTGTAAATGATATATAATTGTCAAAAGGTTTCATTGAAATGGTAATTTAATGTAATTTTCATTGAATAAAGGTTTCTCCTTTTTTTTTTCTGATTCTGGGTTTTCAATAAAAGATATTTTGCTATTTGTTTCTAATGTTAACAAAACTTAAATTTTAATATGAAAATCTATTGCATACATTATAAACAAAATTGAAACTAGTTTCCATTTTCACAGTTATTACTTAAATAATGTTAGTAAATTTTTTTTAGAATGAATCTGCAAGTAATAAGAAAAGTAAAGAATCTGTAAGTAAAAGTACATATTTACTAATTTTCTTAATTTATTACATTGTATTTATTGCTATTCCATTGCTAAAATATAGCTGTTTACCCAGGAACTGCTTCTGCTTCGCCAAAAGTGTCTTCGGTTAGAAGGGGCATTGAAAGAAAAAGAGCTTGCTTTAAAGTATGTTCATACCTTTCTTAACTCTGATAATCTACTTGTTAAATAAATATTTATGCTTATTCATGAAATTATAACTATATTGTGGATTTCGTAGCAGGTGGGCATTTTTAGAATGCGTATTAGACATTTTGTTAATGCATGCACATATGGTGTCTGTAAGATACAATAATTTGAAACATTAGTATGTTTAAGCGATATTAGTATATTTTATGTTCCATTACATTTTAAATTGATATTTAGAATAATTTTCAAGTTATTTTCCCTTCATGTAAACAAAACTCATGAGCTTTCATAACAATTTTTGATATTAGGGAATACTTAGGCTTCATATAAATAAAAATCATTTTGGGAATTTTTTTTCTTAATGATGTATAGCTTGTGTCCAGCTAGTTTGCTATCTTTGAATCATTTCCTTTCTATGTGCATATTAAACTTTTATACATGATTAATATGATTATAAATGTGCAATATAGGTTCATGTGATTAATGCATGAGAAGAACTTCTGATGTGACTAATATGTATTCATAGTATAGGTTATGATATACAGTACAACGTCCAAAAAAACTTTAATTTTTAGCCTAAAGGGCATTAGCCCAGAAGGCCTGTTAATATCATTTTGCTTTGGTTCACTATAAATGTCGATTCACTTTTCAAATTGTTGCTACCAAATGTTAGAGCCCTGTGTTATATTTAAAGAAATTAAATAATGAAGAATCTGCATAAACATATGCATGTTTCTGGCATTGTGATAAAACAACAGTACCTATAGCCATCAAATTTTGAATAACATAATCTTCCACTGAATGTGGGCATCTGGATGCTCAAATTTAGAGAAGGAGAGAAACAAAATTAAGGGATAACAAAATCTTCAGGGAAAGCACTGGGTATTTATTTTAGAATTTAAAGAGGGATTTGGCAGTAGGAGTTATAACCTTCCAAGACTGCACCAGGCCACAAAATGTCTAGCACTGGGGATGGATAAGCCTTAAGTATGCCTGGGAATTTATTTATTCAGAACTGAGATTGTGCATGTGCAAAAAACTGCATAAGTATAATAAATATAATTCAGGATTAACTTTGTCAGCATGCACTGTATAAATAAAGTAAAATTTAATGGAACAACATGTCTTTAGTTGCCAATCTCATGGCACATTGCCAATAGTCTGTAGTGGATACTAGTTAAGCTTTATGATTAGCAGTGAATTTGAAGGTTTATAGATAACGCAAACAAAAAGCAAAATTTTCCAATAAATAGAATTTATGCAAAATTGGTAATAATTGAAAATGGTATGACAATACACTGTATGGAATACAATATTTTCATCTCCAGCACATGAGACTGTCTATCCGAAATTCTAAAGATATGCTGTTTTTAAATATTGTTAGCCCAAATTCTCTCAAAATATGTATGTATGTGTAAATGAAAAAATTGCCTCTTTGGGCAGAGTATAAAATCTGAAAGTGTTCAGATTTTATTTATTTATTTATTTTATATTTTTCATTTATTTTATTTTATTTTATTTTTCATTTATTTTATTCAGGCAGTTAGTGAGGGAGGGAGGGATCTGTCATTTAGTCATGGCTGGTTGGCTGGGATGGGATGGGAGGGGAGGAGTTTTTGCCTAAGAAATACCTAAGAAAAATATTCTGAGAACTGAAATTGTAACATGTTACTGGTCCTCAGTTTGTACAATATTTTTGGGCATTCTTAAGTTTTGGAGACCGTCAAGGGAGTTTTCAAATTCAAATATCCCAGTTTTATTCCATTACGATTTCAAAAATTGAACTAAAAGTTTATTTATGCTTTTACCAGAAATCTGATGGTATCAGTAATCAATATATTATGAAATAAATGAACTATAATGGCAAAAAAAAGTAGTACTCAATATAGTAGTAAAAATTTAATAAATGAAAGTTTCAGTATACAGGGTGATTCAAAAATATCTTACAAAAGTGTACAGGCAGGCAGAGAGGACTGAAATAGTAAATTTTGTGATGAAATGTTTGTGCAGAAGTGAGATGTTGGTAGTAGTAGCTAAAAGTGTTCTGCTTGCATAAATTGTTATTACCCCATACAGCAGTATGTGTTGCTACAGAATGAGCAACAACCGGCAAGTGACGAGCAGTATGTGTTGTTACAGACTGAGGAGCTCACCAACAAGCATTTTTTCTATAGAGCTGCAGATGAAAATGGAGCAGCTTTTCTAAATTGTCACTTGGAAACCATTCTCTATATCTACTTTGAGTAGTTGCTGCATTTTAGCCACAGGCCCACACACAAAAAACATGTCAGTGAGTTCTTTGTTTATATAGAGATCACATCGCTCAGTTCACATGAGGAATGATGACTTGTAATAGCAGGACACTTTTTGTCTACTAGCTCATTGTGCCTAATTCTACAAATGCATTCAATTACAAAATCTGCTTATTTTAGTCTCTTATATTTTTGCCAATATTTCTAAATCAACCTATGAAAATATTTTATGTAAGTTCTTAAGTTTGTATTTGTGAAACGCATTTCAGGTAAATGAAATTTCAGCACTTCAGAAATTTGTTTGCACCTATCATTTAGAACAAAGTTTACCATTTTTTAGAATTTAATGATACATAACATTGATGTGCATTTTTACCATGTTGGGAACTTGTAGATTGCTCCTAAATATTTCATGAGTTTCAGATAGGTCTTCTGTAGATGTTGAATTATAAATTTAATGCTTAAATATAATGCTAAATCATGATTATAAAAAATAGCTGAATTTGGATGGCTAGTTTTCTGTAGTTTAGCAAAAGTCAGTATGTGTGATCAGGTTTTAATACCAAGAATGATGATTAAAGTGATAATGAAATGTTATTACTTGTGTGAGTGGTAGTTATATTCTGTAAGTAATTCCAAGTTTTTCAAGTACTGATTTTTTTTATTAATATATTTTCTATAAGTTGCTGTCCCTTTGAAACCCTGAAGTAATTGTGATTTTTTCAGCTAAATAATACTAAATTCTGCTTTTGCTGCAAATAAATATTCAGGAAACTTGATGGTATATATATTAAAGAAAAAGTACACACACACATTCAGCATTTGACATTCATACCTGTATATTGTGACCATGATAGAATAAAAATAAAATGTGTTTTGTACAACACTTTTATGATTTCATTTAATAAATAAAAAAATGATTAAAATAGAATTATTTTAAAATTATAAGCATTTTAATTCAATACCAGTTTTGAAATCTTATGTGATTTGGTCAAAGATAGATTGATTTTATGTATCAGAGTTATATAAAAGCTGCATTGGTTTTGTGTATCAGTCATATAAAAGCTGGAAAATGTTAGAAGAGATTTAATTTTATTCAATGGAATTTCATACTTTTCTCATGCTCATTAGTTTGGATGTAAATATATTATCTTTTTAAGAAGACAATTTAAAGTAATCAAGTTCAGTTCTTCTAAGAAGGTATGTACTTCCTGCAGCCCCAACAGCCAACTTTGGAAAGACATGCTTGTTTGCATATTTTGACATCTATTTCAATAATAAATCCAATGCTACATGTTTTTTTTTTTTTTTTTTTTTTTTTTTTTTTTACACTGTTATTTTATGTACACTGTAAAAAAAAAAAAAAAAAACCCAGAGAATGGCTCACACTTGGTATAGCACACAACCTTGGCTTTCCACTCCGGCTGCAATCAGATCACTGAAATATATTGAATCTTCAACATATATTCTAACATAATAAAAATATTAATAATAATAAAAAATAAATAAAATAAAATAATTAAAATCTGAAAGCTTTCAGATTTTACATTACGCCCAACGGGGCTTTTTTTTTTTTTTTACATTTTGTGTGTTACCTTATTTATTAAATATCATGTTCTTCACACTTAAACTATAAAATTCAGTTCAACAGCAATATCGCAAAATAATTTTAAAATGAGCTAGGATTTCCGATACACAGTCTCGTGTGCTGGAAATAAAATGTTCCCCCCCCCATACAGTGTTGCCATGTTTGAAATCGTTGAATTTGTTAATCAAAAATTCGTTGAAGTCTTACAAAATATGAAATAGATAATAAAACAAATTTCAAATTTAGGCTTCCAGATGCCCATATTTGGATGGTCTGTCAGATTACAAGTCTTAGCCAGTACAATAAATAACTGTAGAAGGGAAAGTGTGGTCAATGTCAATACAATATTAGTCAATGTATTGTCATTGGCCACTGGTGTGATTCCCTAAATAACAGGTGTTTTAAAGTGACATGCAGGAGGGAATCTGTGTTAGTCTGGATAAAAAAATTTTTTAGGGCACACCTATTTTTCATTGAGTATTTTATTATATTCTCCATTTCTATATTTTGAACAGAGAAAAAATTTTTAAAAAGAAAATGAAAAGTTAAAAAAAAATATTCTGAAAGCTTTCAGATTTTATATTATGTCGAAAGAGGCTTTTTTTTTAACATTTTGTGTGTTACCTTTATTTATTAAATATCATGTTCTTCACACTTAAGCTATAAAATTCAGTTCAACTGCAATATCGCAGAATAATTTAAAAAGAGCATTATCTTTAGAATTTCCTATACACAGTCTCGTGCGCTGGAGATAATTTTTTTTTTTCCGTGCAGTGTTACCATTGTTCGCTTTGAAATCTTTTGAGTTTCTTAATCAAAAACTCATAAATGCTTTACAAAATATGAAATTGATAATAAAACAAATTCCAAATTCGGGCTTCCAGATCCCCATATTAGGGTGAAGATGTGCATTATTCAAAATTTGATGGCTCTAGGTACTGTCGTCTTATCACAATGCGAGAAAAATGCATACACTTATGCAGATTGTTCATTATTTAATTTCTTTAAATATAATACAGAGCTGTAATATTTGGTGGTGACAGTTTGAAAAGTGAACCGACATTTAAAGTTTTCAACGTAAAATGCCAAAACGAAATTAATAGCGAAATTAATATATTTATATATGAACGAAATATATACAAAACAAAATTAATATATTTATATAAAATAAAATAAAAAATAATAATAAAAAAAGTGTGGTTTCCGCTGCCCGTGTAATAAGAGAGCGAGGGATCTGTTTTTGGTTGTGCTTTGCGCCTTGTGGTGTCACAGCAGTGAAGTTGGCAGAACAACTACATACTATAAGTGATTTACCATTACTGTGAATCTGCTTGTCAATGAAGAATTTAATATTTCTTCAGGAAAATTCTGCATCATTTTTGTGAAGTTTATATATTGAGAAAACTAGGTATTTTTCACTTTGAAAAGAATTTAGAAAGTGTTATTTATTAATGTAATAAGTTATATGTACAGTTTTTTAATAATAATTTTACTTATTTAGAGCTGAATGTACTATGTGATGAAAATAAACATTATTTCTAACAGGAGGTTCACTAATGTTGTGTCTTTGAAAACTGGAGAATGTGGTGATACTGATAAAACATTCCACAAAGAGGTTATATAATTTTTTCTGTATAATTACTCTAATGATTAGACTAATATTTCAAAGTTAATTTACATGTGCAATACATAAGATACTTATTTAACTTAGAATGAAGAAGATATTGGTTCAAAAGCCCAGAAAGTCCAAGAAACTAAGGTTACTGAAAAATCTTCAGCAGGTAAAATAAAAACTTTTGCAGTATGTTAACACTAACTTTTGTACATTTTCTTCTCACTCAAATGACATCATTATATTCAAGTTTACAATTTTTGGAGGATGTTAGGATATTTTTTAGTGCCACTAAAATGTTAACTTATATTAAAAGTTTAATTTAAAAAAGAGATTGCATAAACTTCTTATAAATGTAGTATATTTGCTTATTTCTTGAATATGTTTTTTTTTAACTTAACGTTTTTCTTTTTACTAATTATCCAAACAACAATAAAGTTTCAAATTTCTTGAGAAATTTACTTGAACATTTTCTCTTTGAGAAATGCCAATTAAATTTCCATTTTTTTCCTTCTAGTTTAATTTAATTCAAAACTGTAATGTTTTACGATTTTTTTTAATTGGCATTAACATTATTAGTGTAAAAATAGTTTATGATAAAAATTTATTTAATTTTAAAGTACATCTATTATGTTAATATTAAATAGAAGGGCTAAATATATGTTCAGCTGACTTTTGTTGAATCAGATAATTGCTGAATTTGGTACTTTTAAGATCCTAACCTAATGATTTTTTTTTTTTCCAAAAAAGACTTCAGTATTAATCAGAATGTATAAACACAAAAGCAACTTACAGTAGTAATTTCAGTGCATTTTGAATTTAATTCTTTTATTAATTTCATGTTTATTGAATAAGTTTATTGAATGTTTTTTGAAATAAGCGTTTTATTGCTCCAAATGTATTGTAGTTAAGTTTCAATTTCATTTGCTTTTCACTTGTAATATTTGAAATACCTAGATTTATCTAAATTAGTGAATAAATCTAGTACAGATTATTGCACATAAAGGTTCTCATTTTGTATGTTGTACAAATTATTGAAGTTGTATAATAGTATATAGTGTTATATAATAGGGTAAAGCTTTATTTCTTTAAGTACTGGTTTTAGGCATATATTTCCAGTTAAAGAGGTGTTTTTTTAATAAAATGGCAAATTTAATGAAAGTATTATCAACCTTGGTATATTGTAAGAAATGCTACTTTTTAAAAATATTCATTGTTTAATCTAAGCGAAAACGAAAGGACCTATACTTTTACATGGAAAATTCATAGGGGGTATCTGAGTGAATTTTGTTGAAAAAAAATTAATTTTAGAGAACAACAGCAAATCTTCTTGTTTCAGCTATTAAACCACAAGCAAATGCATAACAGTGTCTGACATCACAATGTCTTTTTTTCATTTGAAACATCTTTAATTTTTTCCTAATTCATAATGCATAAAAAGCTTGTGAATGTTTTTACTATTCTAAACTAAATGAGTGGATTGTACTAAGGAGAATAAAACAACTTTATTAATGCTAATTACTAATAATGTACTACTGCCATGTTCTTTACTGAATTGAGTGTCTAAATGAGTGCTTTCTTTCTTTACAGTATGTGGAAGTGTATTCTAATTTAATTGCCTGCTGAAATTCCAAATTTTAGTGTATAATTTTAAACAAACAATTTAATCGTTTTAAGAATAACTAATTCTACTATCCAAATATGAAAGGTTAATAGGTTATTTTTCACCCTTGAAATACAATATAAAATAATACAAAAAGATCAATTAGCATATAGAGAACATAATTCACTATGATGCAATCTTACTTGTTGTTTTAAAACAGTTAAATTTTCAATAAAGTGTAATTTTCAGTATGAACGCAATAATGATTGTTATCATAACCATTGTTATCTTTTCTCTGATTTTTATACTTAATGAAGAATGAACCAGAAAAATCAAGTCCACAGGCATTGAATACAGACACTGGGTTAACTCTTTTATTAAGTAAATTTTGCATACATTCCTCATGTACAATTGGCTTAACCTGTCTGCCTCCTTCTCTCAGAAGAGAATCCTTGTCTAAAAGTGTGCATAAAAATTTTGACTTACTTTGGAAGAAACATAGTTCTTATTTTTCAAGAAGAGAATAACCTTGCAAAAATGTTATGTTTGCATCATACAATTCTCTATCAGTCAGAGGACGTATTAATTTTTTTCCTTTTACAATTGGCTATAAACCTGCAAAAAAATAATTTAATATACATATGATACGAATATAGTTATTACTAATATTGAAACTGTGATCTAGATAAGGGAATTAGAGTTCACATTCAGATTAACTGAGTTATTAAGTCCTTTAGTCTGAATTCCTTGACATATTACACATCAGCCATATCAGATGAAATAATTTCACTTCTTTAGTTATGACTGTTGATCTATACCACCATATATCATTATGAAGAAAATCCTTAGTTTAACTCCACATGATATCAAATCAATTGGATTATTATAAGTGCTAACCATTGACGAATAACAATCATACTGTGAATAACACACCATTAGTCTGTTTAATGTCTTAAACTGATGTGGTTCCTTCTTAAACCATATTAATAATATTGAAGAACTAGAGAAAGAATACACCTTGTCTGTGGTTGAATGGCATCATCTTTTTTTAGTTTTAACAACAGAACTGCACCGTAAAGTTAGAAACAAGGGATGGTAATTGACTTCAAAGGTGATGCATGAAAGTTGCTACAGAGAACTCTTGATGAGGATTCATTTGAAGATAATATACATTTCACATAAATTGCAGCACCATAAGCCTTTCTAATTACATTTCAGTATTCTCTTATTTCTGATTGCTGTATTCCATTGGTTAGAGCAAATCTAGGGATGCATTAATTGTTAACTATTTAAAGATTATGCAGAAAGGCCTTTCATTCTTCAGTCATCTTTAGGAAGAGGTGTGTTCCACTTTATTTTCAAGAGTCAAACTTTTTGTAGAAAAATATTAGCTTTTGCAGCAGGTCGAATTAAACCTAATGGATCAAAGAGGTAACCTAAGCTGATAAGACATGTCTTTTTGTTACTGTTTCTTCAATGTCAGGTAACCTTAAAATCATAAGAGAATCTGTCTGTAGCCATACTGCATGATATTCCCAATGCCTTTGTAACTTAAGGCTCATCAGTAACTTGAAAAGAATAATCCTGAGTTACACTTTCTCTGTTCTTCAGTTTTTAGTATTATTTAAACACCATTTATGTAATTTCATTACACATTCTAGGACATAGATTAACTATCCCTGCAACTTTCTGGTTTTTTGCAATATATTAGCTCCAGTAGTAATGTCATCCACATAACAGTCCTTCAGTATGGCTGTTGAAGCACAAGGAAATTCATTTGCTTCATCCAATGTTAACCGCTTTAAGACCTTTGTTTTGAGGCATCGTGCACTTTCTGTTCCATATGTTACGGTCTTCAGACAATAAATGCCAATCAATGCACAGGACTACCAATCGATTCTTTCCATAAGATCAACTGCAGATTTTTTTGAGATGGTTTAATTTTCTATACATCTTCTGAACATCGGATCCTAGTGCTTCTCATTGTACTTTCAAAATCTAATAATAATAGAAAGTAAATTTTCTTGTAGTATTTGTCTCTTCATTAATAATAAGTTACTTCCCATTAGTAGTAACTACTGATGCAGTAAACACAATGCAAAACTTCGTAGAAGTTTTCTCTGGATGATAAACTCCATGATGTCTAAGATAATTGGAGGCTAACGTTTCAATTTCTTAAACTTCTTCCATGTGATTTAAATCCTTATATTCCTTTACAAAATTCTTATGTGAGTATTTCATATTCAAATTGCTTTTTAGCCAATTCCTTACTTGATATAAACTTTTCTCAACAAGAGTTTTCGATTCTACTAATTCCATGCTTTCCCTACTGGGTAATGTCACTATATGCATCTTCCATCATTAGTAATGTTGTACTATATATCTTCCATCATTTTGATGATAATTAGTATGTTTATTTTCAATGTATTTAACTTTCCAAAATATTTGCAAAATTTTGTCAAATTCTTCTTCAATAGTTAGAACTAAGCCACTATAATTTACTTCTTAATTACTCTTACATAAACCAAATGCAATGTATCCAAAAACTGTTTATTGGCATATTAGCAGTTGATTTTCTAATTGAAATTTTATGTTTTTAAAATCTCAAAGAACAGTTTGGATGCTAGTAACATGTTTACTTTGTTAGGGGTTCCAAATCGGGGATCAGCTAATTGAATATTGGTAGGAATATTTAATGACTGCACATCTAAACTCCTTGGTAGGGTCAAACAGGTAATTTTATAAATAATCAAGCCGTTAATTCATCTTATATATGTTAAATCCTTAGTCAAAATCTGTATGTCTAGTTGATAGTTAATTTTATAATGTGTTCATTTATTCCAGATATGGACGCATAAACTCTTTTTATAACAAACTGGGAAATCTTTCAGTAATAAAGCAAGACATGCTTCCATTATCTAAAGTGGCATGAATTGGAATTATTTTTCCTTCTGAATTACAAGCGTATACTATTGCAGTTGCAAATAATACATCTTTCCTCCATGTCAAAAGACAATTTGATTAAGTAAACCATCTGCATTCTTGTTTATAATCTCTCTGTTGGATGTTTTCATCATATTTTTTTTTTGTGTGTGTGTGGATGTAACTGCTGATTGATGGTATTGTTGCTGAGTAGTTGGTGAATTAAGGTACAATATTTTTGATGGCTTTCAGAACATCTGAACATAGAGTTATATATTGTGATTAAATTTTCCTTGTAAAACAGTTTAACCACAATTTATAATTCTGAACTATTTCATATTTGATCTGGATTTAATTTTAATAACGAGTCACATGTACGCAGCAGGATAAATTATTATTTTTACATATCACACAAGTCAGAACTCTATCAGTTTTAACCATCTGAGATTTCGGTTTTAAACTTTTTCTAATAGATATTTTACTTTACTAGTAATACAGTAAATGTTATCTGATAATTGACATCTTTTCCTTGAAAACAAATTCAAATTGATTCAAATTGATCAAGATCACGCTTGATCACGCTTGATCAATTCATCACGCTTGATCAATCACACTTGATCAATTCAAATTGATCAAGCGTAGGAAGTTTTGTAGCATTAATGCTTAATTCAGATTGTTTGTGTGTTTCATAGTCTAGCTTCTGAAGAGCAATATTTAATTACAGAATGTCTAATTTTTTTTCCATACTGTAAAACCTTCAAAACGCTTAAGTTTTTAGTAGCATTATCTATTACATATTTTGTCCCTTTCAACAGTTCATAAATTAAATTACATAAATCCATTAGACTTTATATGCATCTCAATTAAGATTCTTTATTTTCATACCTACATTCAACAGCTTTAAATAGAGAATTGAAAGTAACAGTTTCAAGACTTTTTGTTTCATTAATTAATGCAGGCTTTGTGAATTATGATTTCACTCAATACTAGAATGCATAAACGGTGTCTGACAGCTTAGGGAACAGTTTTCCATTTAATAATGGAAGTAATTTCCTTTGTGACCTTTCCTGTTTCAAGAATATGATATTTGAGCCAATCCGAAGTTTGTTCTAGGTTGGGGTAAAAGAGGGAGGAGCATAAAAACACATAATTAGAAACTTTCCAGTTGAACATTATATGCCTAGGATCAGTATTTAAAGAAATAAAATCTGTTATCATATCTTTTTAATAGCCTGCATATACATTGTTCTGCTGTTATGTGCCATTGTTAAATAAATTTGAACACGGAATAAGATTTGCAGGGAAATAAGATTTGCAGGGAAATCAGTTGCAATCATTATGGTCTCATATTGACTGCAACTGATTTTGTTATGTCTCAAAATGTAGACTGTCATCCATGGAGGAACTTGAAACTAGTTATTGTCTCCGGCCTTCTTTTTTCTTTTAAAATTAACATATCATGAAAAGAATTTAAACCTGATAACTTTGCATTTAATTTCAGCTCAAACTAGTATTTCAAGAACTAGTCATTCAATAAAAACTGAAGTTGCAAAACTGAGAGATATGATTCATAAATTAGAGAAAGAAAATCAAGAATTACAACAGCAAGCCAAAGTGAATGGGTATATTCGAAAATTTTTTAATCCATGTTTTCCTGCATTCAAAATATCTAATATTCAAATTGGTCTAAAATGTTAGTTTGGCGTTTAATATCAAACAAATACTTCAAAATTTCTGTTTTTGATTATTTTTTATTCTTGTAATTATATTTGTAGTGACTGTTTTTTCTGTGTTAGAATTTTTAACTTCCTCAAGCGTACATGGAACTTATGCATTACTTTTAAATTAGACAGAAACTGGGCATTGACCTTTATTTGTGTCTTTTTTTTTTTTTTTTTTTTTTTTTTTTTTTTTTTTTTTGAAAGGCCTATTGATGTTGGAAGGTTCTTTTTAAAATTAAATTTCTGAATTTACTCCCATTTACGTTTATTACAATTATACCGTTATAAAAGTGATTAACATTATTACAATTATGAAAAAATGTTAATATTTTTTCCTCATTTTTTTATATATTTGAAATATTGAATCATTTTTTATATATTTGAAATATTGAATCATTCTTTTAATTTTGTATTTCCAGCAACTATAACTATTGTTTTATCAGAATACTACTCCTAATAAAGCTGTGTTTTTTACTACAAATATTATTAAAAAAGGTTTGGAATTAAATTTAGTATTAGGTGCAAAAAAATACTTTAGTCAACGATGCCAAAAAAAAATGAAAAACATATGCTTTCCGTGCTGGTTTAGAGGTTAGCAATGTTGGTTGCCATATCGTAGGACCTAGGTTTGTGCAGCATGGGGGCACTTATAACGCTTGTGAGCTGAAAGTCCCATCTAGTGGTTTGGTCGTAGAGGATGAGTGGTGGGAAATCATTGTATCTATGCCTTGGAGTGTTTTATATTAAAATTTGGGCGAAGCTCACAGTTAGTGCAGTGGTTCTATATGTGTATGGCCGGTGGTGAAATTCTGGTGTTACTTATTTTTACCTGTAATATTTGTATGTTACAATATGCCCTCAAATTTGTATATTTGTATGCCTTCAAATATTTGTATGTTATTAAGAAGAAACTTGGGGAACATCTAGTAATTAAAAGCATACTATAAATGAGTATTTTATTAAAAGGTACATTTTTATATGTGATCATTTTATTTTAAGTTAAATAAACTCAAATAAAATTTTATTCATCTTGATGCCTTTCAAAAGAGAGATTTTTTTAATATTTATTACTTAATGAATAGTGTGTGTTATAAAATTTGTGATCTTGCTAATTTCACATTTAAAATTAAATTTTAATGTTTCATAAAATAATAATAATAATAATTTCTTAAAATAATTATGCTCACAGTATCTAATTAATGTAGAGTATTAAACTTTATTCTTGATCATTTCTAAATTGTATAATTAACTAAATGAGATGTGGTGACAAAGTATTTGAATTGTAAGAACAATCAATCAATGGAGAGACATATGATATGATGTTGTCATTATTTCTGAATATTCATTTTGAAGAATTTTTTTATAATTATTATTGGACTTTGTAATTTGATTTTGTACCATGAAGCAATTTCTGAGGTGAAATCAATTAAAGGAAAAGTCATTTGCACGAAATTTCCTTTCAAAATTTAAAAACACCCAATGGATTTCATTGGCTGTTTAGTTAAGTGAGGGAAAAAATATGAGGACTCTTTGCATAACTTGAATTCAATTTCAACCAAGAGTGAGTAAAGAATTTAATACAAGGATATTCAGCTCCTTTTATATGAGTTTATAATCTGGTATATCTAATAAAAGCGTATCTGAGTCTAAAAGATAGCAACATATATGTCTCTAATTGTGATATGTGTTAAATTTATCTAAATACATAATAACTAACAATTGATCCAGTAATTAATACCTAAAATATAATTAAAAATGAATGTTAAACCATTTAAATGATTTTGAAATTCATATTTTAATTTTTTAAAGAATATATATGTATTTACGTACATTGATTAAATTTTGAATTTTTACTTTGTTTTGTATTGTTTTTCAGTACTTTTTTATTTGTGCTCTTAAGTTTATAAAACTACTGGTAATTTTTTTATCACTTAGAATTTGGAATTCTTTTCTAGACTCTATCTGTTGATTTTGGCACATTATCACTTTCTGCAATTTTTTTTTACATTTTCTACAATATGGTAGTCAGTTTTTTTAACATGTTATCTTGATATTATTGCCAGTTGAAGGGTCTAAAAGGGAATTTTTATAACTTCCCTCGCCATGTCTGAAATATTCTCTAGCTATAGCTTGCAATTCCTTTGGTGTTCCTTCTAAATAAAAACCATATTTTTAAAACAGTTTTTTAAGTATGTTTAAGATATTATTCCCTTAGCCAATAACCAATGCTGTATTCTTAATTGTTTGGCACATACTGCACATTTCTAATACAATAAAGCATTTAGTTTCTTAAACCAGATACTGCTTCACTTTTAAACATTAATATGTCTTCTTGTAATAATATGTAACACATTCCAGTTGCATCTATATTATAAATTTCGTATGGCTTGTATTCATTTAGCAGACCAGAAAAACATCTTATCAGCAACATGATGCTATGTCTGTTGCTTCTCACTGTAGAATTTCCAGTGCTTAAGTTTTAATCTACTCAAGCAGCATCTGTTTCAGTTGTTGGGTGTTCGCCGGAGGATGTAATCGTGCCATGAAGCGTCTCCTTAAAACATTCCATACATTTTCTTTGGGATTTAAATCAGGAGAGTATGCTGGCCAATCCATTCGAGTGATATCTTCACTTTTCAGTAGCTTCTGAACAGCAGGAATCCGGTGTGACTGTACATTGTCATCCATAAAAGCGAAGTATGCTCCAATGGCACTTTGGAACAGAGGCACATGAGGAAGCATAATCTCCTGACAACAGCAATCTCCGGTTACAGAACCTCTGTCGAAAACGTGGAGCTCTGCCCGCTTGTTCAGCATAATGCCTCTCCAGATGAGAACTCCAGGACCACCGTAACGGTCTCTTTCCGTGATATTACTCTCCGTGATCCAACCTCTCTCCAAATCAACTGGCATTGAGAATCGCTTGTGGGACTAAAACGACTCTCATCCGTAAAGAGCATATGACTCCATTGATCAGATGTCCAGTTTTTGTGCTCTTTGTACCACTCTCTAAACGATGGCCATCTTTCAAAGAGATGAAGCCTTCAGGACAGCAGGCAAATACACTGACTACCAATAAGTACTTGGACACATATGCAAATGACGATATCTGTGGTCCTAAGGTACATCACAGATTCCGCCGGTATATATCGTGTAGGAAACAGCATCAGCTTTAGTCGCATGCAAGATGCTTCTCAGTTCGGAGCTCTCTAATTTCGAGAAAGGTATAATTATCGGGTGTCACAAATAGGCTCGATCCTTGAGGGACATATCTAGCGATCTGAAGTACCCAAAATCGACAGTGGCCTATGCGATTAAGAAGTGGAAGGTGAGCGGTGATTGTCGGAATGTGCCCCGAGTCGGCAGACCAACGAAACTGGGAGATAGAGACAGACGAATGCTGTCCAGAGAAATTCGGAAGAACCGCACACCCAACCGATGGCCCTCATCTGCGAGGAGTTTCAACAGGCATCTGGGAATATTGTTTCAATGAATACCATCCGTAAAGAAGCACTTCTGTTTGGTTTTCATGGTCGTGCTGCTGCCCATAAGCCTTTGGTCACAAAGTCCAACCGCGCTGCTCGGTTAATATGGTGCAAAGCACATCGAAATTGGACCGTAGATCAGTGGAAATGGGTTCTTTGGAGTGACGAATCAAGGTTCATCCTTTACCGTTCGAATGGCAGGGTCTGGGTCTGGCGTCTACCTGGAGAACGTCTCCTGCCAGAATGCATTGTGCCAACAGTCAAGTTCGGCGGAGGTGGAATTATGGTCTGTCGGTGTTTCTCCTGGTATGTGCTGGGACCCTTGGTCCCCATTCATGGTAAGGTCAACTTCGATGCCTACTGCACTATTTTGGATGACAATGTGCTTCCTACGTTGTGGCAGTTTTATGGGTTGGACCCCTGTTACTTTCAGGATGACAATGCCAGTTGTCATGTTTCGACGTTAACCAAGGCTTGGTATGGTGCCAATGGAGTTCATCGAATGGACTGGCCTGCCCAGAGTCCAGACCTGAACCTTGTCGAGAACCTCTGGGACAAGTTGCATCGCCGAATTCAGGGGTGCACTACCCGTGCAAAATTGGTGAAGGAACATCTATGTCTTCTCCAAGCCGAGTGAAAGAAAATACCACTAGCTCTCATACAAAGACTTGTGGAAAGCATGCCCCGGAGGGTCCACGCTGTAATTACCTCTCGTGGAGGCTCTACCAACTATTGATTTTGAATAAAGTTAGTTTTTCTTTTCTATCACAGGTGTCCAAATACTTATTGGTAGTCAGTGTAGGCCACCTTTGTGAAGGCGTTTGTACACAGTATACCCACGACACTTGTCGCTCTGTTGCTGTACACAGTTGCTGAGCTACGGCGTTTGCTGACTGTTTTTGGGCTCTTTTCGCCTGCAGGATGATATATTGGTCATCTACTGCAGTTGGTTTAATGGGGTGGCCACCACCAATCTTTCTAACAGCTGTAATTATGGTTTGAAAGGCTTTCCAAGCATGCGAAAGGACACTTTTGTTGATTTCGACTCTTCAGCTATACTGATCATACTAAGCCCCTCCTCCAGCTTTCAGATCATTCTTCCACATGCGAAGTCATTCAGGTGATTCTTCTAGACATATTTCATGAAAGAACTTACTTGTACTTGCAACGAATGTCTTTAATTGCATCTCTGTCCTTCCTTTTATTGTCTTGAGTTAAGCGCACCGGCCACACACGTTTTGCATACGCTGACGTCACCTGTGATGTTTTGTTCCTGACATTTGCATACGCAGAACATTTTTACTAAATTGCGTGTTCATTGTACTGATCACAAGAACCCTTTTCTGCAATTTCATGGCTATCTGATTAAAATTTACATTGTTGCTCAAGTTTTGCACACCAGTGTAGAAGAACAGTTTTATCAGTTCTTGATTTTCAACTTTCTTTGTACTTCTATGAGACATCTGCACTTTTTTATTAGTTCTTGATTACTTTGACATATTTATTTTAAGTAAATTGCGCAGTGCTGTATGAGATATTCATAGTTTAAACGCAGTTTTACTTCGGCTGCATTCAACCAAAAACATCAAGATCTTTTAAAGATTTATAATTTTCTTTCAGGCTAAATCTTTTCACTCATTCATTTTCGACAAGTTATGAGTTAAGCAAACAACGAATTAAAAGAATGATATGTACAATTTTGAAACACATTTTTAGCCAGCAGGAAAACTGCATTATTAGTCATTTTGCCTCCTCATGATTTTTTTAGGGATGACCAATGTTTATTTTGCTTCTTCTTTAGCCTACATTGATGATTCTTTTTCTGTTCAAAAATTGATAATGCATGGTAATACTAAGAAACATTTCATGAATTGTTTTGAGAGCGTACTGTGAACATAATGCAAATATCCCAATGGGAAGATTTTGCATGTAGAAACTTTAAAAGATGGGATGCAGAAATTGCACTTCCACCTTTTGGCAGCTTGCATTTGAGGAAGAACACTTGCTGATATACCACCTGATATATGTCTTTTTTAACCTTAAGATAAAGAAATTATGTCCTACTCAGCTTCAGCTGGATAAAGAGCTTTGAAGATACTGTCTGAGAGATCCAGGGGAAGAAAAATATCAGTCAGATTCATTTTATTTAAGAACTACATAATTGAATTAAAAGAATGATATGTACAATTTTGAAACACATTTTTAGCCAGCAGGAAAACTGCATTGTTAGTCATTTTGCCAGTAGGAAAACTGCATAAGTCATGGTTTATGATAAGTTAAATGGATGAATTACAAACAGCTCTGATAGGTATAAGTAGGATATTCTAGAACTGAAGAATCAGTCTTTTACCAATTTGAGTTTGTTAAGTGGCAGAGATGAGTTTAATATGCATTTATTTTGGTTCCTGGAAATTTAAACATAATAAGGGCTAATTTTATTAACCAGTGACTTCAATAAAAAGGTGCACTTTGTGTACTTTCTTCCCATTTTATGATGCTAGTGATGATATGAATTAAATTTCATAAATAACTTTATTAATTCTAGCAATTAATAATATTTTACATAACAAAAGTAGAACGATTCAAAAACTGCTTTGCAGTAGAGTATTTAAAAAGGTGATTATAAGAGTATTTAAAGATGTGGTTTATATTTCCCTAAATGTTAGTCATAAACATGCGCTTCCGATTACAGAAGGAAAAAACTTTGAAAAGATTTTTCAATTTGTTGTGTGTTCATTGCTTTTGTAATAGAGAAGAAACTTCAATTAATAATGTTTATGTTAAACCATTATTTTTATTATGTTAACCCATTATCTTTATTATGTTAACCCATTATCTTTTTGTTTGAACTTTACTATCAATTCTACTTTTTGTTAGCTTTAACTAGTAAATGAGTACATATATATAAAAATAATGTTCTTGAAAGTTAGACAGAGAGCCTTAGCAGCATTGTTGATTGTTGTGATAGTTCGCTTGCTTAGCCTTGAGACTTACATTACCTGATACAGTCAAAAGTCTTTAATCCGGACTCGTCGGGACTTCGGCGATTATGGATTATCGATTTTTCCGGATTATAGATCATCAGTTTAAATCTGGTAAGATGGCATGCAAAAATTATAAAATTAAAACTATGAAACCGTAATTTATAAAATAATGAGCAATTATGATCTAAAGGGTATCAAAATTTACAAAAAAAAAAAAAAAAAAAAAAAAAAAAAAAAAAAAAAAAAAAGCTTAATATTTATTTGTTTACTTTATTAAACATTTCTTTCAACGCCGAACATTACGCATAGCCGAAATTAGAAAATTGCGACCAGAAAACTATTTGATTTGTATTTGTGATATTTATACTGACGAGGAATTTGATTTAAATCATATCAAAGACGGAGTACATCGAGATGAAATACTACATTTAGTAAGGAATTATAAGCCAAATATAATAAAAACATCTGCCCTGAAGATAACGGTAGTGCTGACAGATCAACTTCCAGTTCATTGCGCGCCGCGACGTCCCCCCGCAGAGCAGCGTGAAATTGATAAACAGATTTCGGAACTATTAGATAAACAAAGGATATGCCTTTATCCATTTTTTGTAGCAATTCCACTTTTTGTTTGATGGACATCGAAACATACTTTCGTTTTCTAGATCCTTTGGGAGCTCCAGCATCGGAAATTCTATTTGACATAATCAAAAGTTCAAGCTTACTTTTATAAAATTGCTCTAACAATAAGCCGGATCTTTTACTTTTATAAAATTGCTCTAACAGTAAGCAAAAAATAATAAGCCGGATCCAATTCGAAAATTAAGGAACAACGCAATCATCAACATTAACTGAAATAGATAATTAGATAATTTTAGCTTATACCGTCCGTTATACATTAAACGCGCACGCAAAAACGTATTCTACGCTTGCGCAGACGCATATGCGCAGTCGTAAAGGCCTTGTGCACATGTGTAAACGCCTATGTGCATGCATAAATGCCTATGTGCATGCATAAACGCCTATGTGCATGCCTATGTGCAATAACGCCTATGCGTAAACTCGGCGCGTGCGCAGATAGATTTTAGCTTTGAGGTCCGGATTATAGATCATTCTGGATTATGGGTGTCCGAATTAACGACATTTGACTGTAATAGCTTTTTTTGCAAGCCATTTCATTCACACATTTAGTTAGAAGTGAGACAACACTTGTTAGGCTTTTGCACTATGAATATTGAGTATTGATTTAACCTTGAATTTTAATTCACTTATTGTGTTATCTGAAATCCTGCAAGCTATAGAGCACAAGATGTGCATTAAGTTTAAAGTTTATATAAAATAGTTGTTTAAACCTTCCAAACCTGTACTTACTTTTACAGGCAGGGTAATAAAGTACTTTTACAGGCAGGGTAATAAAGTGCCTGGCAGTCTTAACAAGCTTTAAAAAATTAAGTTAAGTAATCACTGAAAGCCTACAGTAAAATATTCATTATGTTTGAAATACAGAAAGTTTTACATTTTTTATGCAAAATCTGTAGAGATATACACACCCAGGAATGCAAAAATTATTTGACATTAGGATATTAAAACTCTAAGAGAAATAATCTGCTGCTTACTTCAAAAAATATACATGATCAGGAAAATACTGTCCTGGCATATGCAAGAAATAATATGTGAGAAAATTAACATAACAATTTTAATTTGTTTTCTCCTGAAAATTGATTGTTTCTGCTTAATTAATGTAAATAATTTATGAGGCTATATGCTGAAATCTGGAAAATTTGTAATGGAGTTATGAAACATTTGCTATTGATTTTTATATATATAAATTACAAGTGATTAAAATAATTTATTTTTAAAAATATATTGCATAGTAAAGTCACTTTATAATATTTTATACAGAATTAAAGAACATAAATTGACAAATGCATAATAAATCCAGTTGCTATTGCTTTCTTGTTTTCAGTTTTAACTAATTTTTTTCAACATAAAATTTTATAGTAAAATTGTTAGAAGTTGGTATGGGAACTTTATTACTACATTTCATTTTGGCTGTTATTTTCTTTTATGATATGGTATTCCTAATTTTAATTCACTTCCACCCATTTTTTCCTAACTTTTACTTTATATGGGCCTTTTTATTGCAGACAAGAAGTTAGAAGGTTGAAGATGCAATTGAAAAATAAAGATCGTTTCTTAAGTCAACAGGCTTCCATTCCTAAACATTCTGTGCAAAATGAACCTTTAAAAACTGAAGTGATAAAAACTGTGCCAAATACTACAAAAACATTAAAGGAAACTTCCACTAGTTTGAAATTTGTAAAAGCTCCTGTGGGCAAGAAACCACTTCCTCAAAATGTTTCTAAGACATTTTCAAAAGTTGAAAAGTCAGCATTAAAGCGAAATTCTGAAAAACAGGATGCTTTAAAAAATGAAAAAAGTACTGTGCCATCAGTAGGAGCAAAGAATTTTGCTTCTAAAAAACAGGTAGATAATGCCTTTTTATTTTGTATTAAATTAATTCTTGTAGATTTGTATAACTTGTTTGCCGGGTCTAACTACCAGTGTTCAATGATTTTACTGCTCAGAAACTGATATTAATGGAAACTAGTTTGTTTATACATCAATCACTGGAAAAGCTTCAATTTCAAATTATATCCAGAAAATTTGGCAGCTATGTCCCTATGATGACCAGTGTTTTTGAGAACATAAATAAACATAGATCTTGAACATTATCGTTTTTAAAATGATAACATCCACAGAAAACTAAAATGGTCATTTTAAAGAGAATTCTTTGTATTTAACTTTGAATTTATATATTTCTTATATAATTAAAAATATTTAATTTTTTTATATATTTTATTTGATAATTTTTTAGCATTGCTTGACTGTTTCCAATGTATGGTGAACTGCTTCATGGCAATCATATAATATAAAACAAACTCACTGAAAGTACTTTGTTGTACTATATTGAACATCTGGTATATTGAATGTCATCTCTCTATGGTGACCATCTTCAAAGACGAATAAGTTACCTAAAGTCAGAATGGTTCTTTCATTCAGAGTTAGTTCATTCTGCCTGACTTTTCCATTTAGGTATTATTTTTTTTAATCTTACTTATGAAAAAATATTTAGATTTTTGAAATATTTTTATTTGTGGAGACATCTTCTGAAAATTTTTGGTATATCTATAAATTCCTATAAATAATGATATTAAATGTTACCTCTCTAAGATGATCACCTCTACAGATACCCAAATCATCTGGAACCGTGGGTTGTGTCTTCAAATGGTTCACTGTAGTCTTATTGTATGAAAAGTTTCATTCCTCTCCGAGCTGTTAATACTCAAGAGTTTAGTAATTATGAATGAGTCCATTTTATATGAAAATGTGGCCATGATTTTTTCTTATCTGTAAATGACTGGAATTTTAATTCCTCCATTTATAATAATAAACAAGTGCAAAAAGATATGCTTAGCTGAACCACTGTGAGCTATATTTTCATTTAAACTAGAAATCAGTTTTATCACACTACGCCACTATGAACAATGAATGTACTGATTGCTTGTATGATTCCTTTATTCCAGAGCAGTATTTCCATACTGAAACATTTTCTTCACCTAACACTGTGTAGGGAAAAAAATGGCTTCTCTGTCTCTTTTTCCCATCATAAAAATTCTACAATGTTAATTATTACATTAGCATGTAATAAAAGGAGCAATATATATATATTGCATATATATAATTCAAATTATAGTATTTTATAATTTCAAATAATATATATTTTATATATTATTTTTTAGGTGTATTCCCCATATAACGTGCATCCTTTTCTTTACATAGAAACCTGATATGATTAATTTTTGTTTGTTATTCATATAATATGATTAATACTAATATGATTAATTTTTGATATTATACTAATATGATTAATTTTTGTTTGTTATTCATATAATGCATTTATAGTTGTATATACTGAGAAAATAGGCTTTTTTGTAATATGCTTTCTGGATGGCTCAAAGTTTCTCTTTTATTGCTGTAACAAGCATCATTTTGATATAAAGAATTGTGATGATTATGCATGTATTTAAAAAGCTGTATATAGGTATTCATTCATTTTAGTAATATTCATAAAATCATAGTGATCTTGTGACATAATTATTTAAATGCATGTTATATACTAGTGCAGCATTTCATAAACTATGGGTCCTGTAAACTTAAACCCATTTGTGGTCATGTAAACTTAATTCAGTTACATGGATTTAATGAAATTGCATTAATATATATTAATGAGATTAATCATCTGCCATATTAAACCCAAAAAGAATTTGTTGAGTGGCTCAGACATAAAACTTGTTTCCATAAAATCCTTGACTGAATTCTGGATCAGAGCTTGAACTGAATTTTCCACAATTTCTAAAATTACATTAAATGTTCTTGTACCATTCAATACCACATACTTTTGTGAAATTACATATTCAGCTTTAATTATTTTTAATTATTTTTAATAATTAATTAAGCTGATAAATTTATTTAATTATTTTTGTGAAATTACATATTCAGCTTAACACTTACTAAATCTTAATATTGTTCAATGCTGAAAAAATGTTGAAAATGCTTTACATTTAGCAGCATCAGATATTGCACAAGAATTAAATTGTAATGCAGCAAAAAACAAGAACATCCATCTCATTAAATCGTGAATTTTCTTTGATTAATTTTTGCATACTTAAAATAAATCGTAAAACTACTTCTTTTCATATGTAAATTGTTTATGAAAAAAATTAATTATTTATGGAAAAATATTTCTTTTTTAATATTTATTCTACATTTAATATCTAGGGTTGTGAAAAAAACTTGATCATAAAAAGGGATCATGAATAAAAAAGAAAGGTTTAAAAAGTGCTGCATTAGCATTTATTTTAGACTGAAAAATGTATAAAACTCTAATAATATACATTATCAATATATTAAGCTTATCTAGGATATAAAAAACAAAATGAAATTAAGTTTATTCATGGTTCTGTGAATTTTTATGGTTTAGTTGTGATTTTATGTGCTGTACAATACAGATGTAATAAGTATAAGTTTGGAGATTTTTATGATAAAACTGTGTTCATTATGAAAATTGACAAATATGCAAATATTAATTCCAATTGCAAAATATAAAACCTTAGTACATGTTAAACAAAAAATTTAGATGGTAAGTTGTAGTGCAGGTATTCCATGATTAGTTAAATAAGGAATTAATCTTCTATGAATATATTTTCTTTCCTTCATTAACTGTTTTTCCTGTTCTCAGGTTAGGAAGGTTTCAAAATTACCTGTTACAAAAACAGGCTCAACTTTTGTTGTGACAAAGCCTATTGTGCACAAATCATCTCTTAAACAAAATCAGCAATCACATATTCCTGTAGAAATAAACGTGGAAGAAAAAATCCAAGAAATGAGAGAAAATTTTGCTGCCAAGAAAATACAAAGAAGTTGGCGTAACCATCAAAAACGTGTATGTAATAGAATTTTTATTAATTTAATTCATGATGATATGTTACCATTGTGATCTTATTTCAAATTCCCTAGATATAATGAATAAAAGCTCTATAAAAATGCTATAAAATGTAATTAAATATATATATTTCATCATATAATTTCAAGGAATGCCTTTCATTTTGTTTATATTAACAATTACTTTTAATCTATAGAGATTTCCTGTTATGTTTTTACCACCAATCCTCAAATTCCATATCACAGATTATGTTCTTACTGCATTAATATAAATATTAACAAGACATAGTGCACAATAAAAATTAAACTTTATTTAGGAACATCGCGCATACTCCCCGACAGCCTGCCTGTTTCGCTCTGCTCGCTACTCGTAAGAAAACTTCTCCTCTAGGGTTGCCACACTTATCGGAGGGCGCAAGGCGCGCTCCTTATCGCCATCACCACAGAGTTTCCCCCCAGTTCCTTTAATGGCTATTCAAAGGAACGACATAGGTTATGAAATTATCTCAGAGTATCCGTGCTGTCGGGTATTTTTTACATGATTACAAAATTAGAATATAAAATTAGAAAAGATCAAAATGCAATTCAATATATAACAAGGTATTGACACATATAATAAAAATGAAATAACAAAAAATATGTTAAGATATGAATTTAAAAAAAATGTTTTAAATTGTTATGTAAGAAGCAAGTTTCTTAGGGAAGTGAACATGTCTTCCCGATCTGGTGACAGTTTGTGTCTTAGAGAGTTCGTTTGCAGATTTATTCTGCTGAACTGTCTTTAAGTCTTTATTTGTTTTCAGTTCAGGCAAATTAGAGTCCGAAAGCAAATAGGCTGGTTTTTCACACGGTCTATAGACACAGTAGATTTCAGACCGTTAACATCTCAATTGTGAAAGTTTTGTCCGTTCTAGAAAGGACTTTATGCGGACCTGTGTATGGTTGGCACAGAGGTGGCTTTACTCGATCGACACGTAAGTATACATGCGTACACGACTTTAAGGTAGCACTTACGTAACATTTTTCTTGGCAATGTGCAGATGTTGCTATTGGATTCAATTGTTGCATTCTATGCCTAAGATTCGTGATAAATTGTGTGTCATACGGAGATATCTTAGATGACGTTATCATATCACTAGGCAGCTTGAGAGTTGTGCCGTACACCAGTTCAGCACAAGATGACTGTAGATCCTCCTTTACGGCTGTCCGAATACCAAGCATAACAACTGGTAGTGTTTCAGTCCAGTTATTGGTCTCGTGAGCCTTGAGAGAAGATTTTAAATGTCGATGAAATCGTTCAACAATGCCGTTTGGCATTGGATGATAGGCTGTGTTGTGATTCTGTTCGTACCCAAAATGCGCGTGAATTCTGCAAAAAGTGCGGATCTCATTTGAGAACCTTGGTCTGTTGTTATGATCGATGGGACAGCCAAAACGAGATATCCAACAGTTGAAGATGGCTCTGCAAATGGTTTCCGTTTGCATATCCGGGATGGGAATGGCTTCAGGGCCATCTGGAGAATCTATCTATTAGAGTCAAAAGGTACACATTGCCTTCTGATGGAGGTAACGGTCCGACGATATCCATATGGATTTCTGAAAAACGTGCATCAGGAAGAGAGAATGTGCCCAGTGGTGCTTTAGTATGCCTAGTAATTTTCGATTTTTGGCAAGATTCACAGGATTTCACCCAATTTTTGATATGACGTTTCATATCGGGCCATACATAACGAGAACAAATAAGCTTCGTAGTAGCTGCAATTCCTGGATGTGACAGATTATGCAGATGATTAAAGATGAGTCTGCGAAAGGAATTCGGAACAAATGGACGAGGAATGTCTGTTGATATGTCACAAAGAATATTACCATCAGAATATTGGCACGGTTTAAATTCCAGTTTCAAAGATGATGTGTTGTTTTTGAGAAGGTCTTGTACCTCCGGATCATGCCGTTGAGCTTCCGAAAATTTTTTAAAATCCAAAAATGGAGATTTTGTTATGGAATCAATTTCGATTCTTGAAAGAGCGTCAGCAACGACGTTTTTTGAACCTTGCACATGCCTAATATCAGTAGAGTACTGAGAAATAAAATCTAAATGGCGCAATTGTCGAGGTGAACATTTATGAGGGTTCTGTTTAAAAGCGTATATTAACGGTTTTTGATCCGTATAAATTATAAAATTTCTGCCCTCTAACATGTGTCGGAATTTCTTAATTGCAGAATAAATAGAAAATAATTCCCTATCGTACGCGGACCATTTCTGTTGACTTTTATTGAGTTTCATAGAGAAAAATGCTATAGGTTCCCATGTTTGTTGAGACAACTGCATAAGTGTGCCGCCTATTGCGACGTCTGAGGCATCTACCCAGATGCTTAGCTGGGCTCCGGGAATAGGGTGTCTCAAAAGGGTAGCCTGAGCAATGGCATTTTTGGCAGCAATAAAGGCTTGTTCAGCATTCTCGTTCCAATTTAATTGTGGGGATGAATCCTGAACACGAGAACGAGATTTCTTTTTATTAATATAGCCTTCTAACAATTTTATTAAAGGAGAAAGAATATGTGCTGCTTTAGGTATGAAACATCTATAAAAGTTAAACATGCCTAAAAATCGGCGAAGCTGAGTGAGAGTGGTAGGTTGAGGAAAATCTAAAATACATTTGACTTTGTCAGGAAGAGGTTTCAATTCCGTTTTCACTAAGGTGAAAACCTAAGAAATCAATAGATGTTTGACCAAAGGTGCATTTTGAAACATTTATGCAAAGTCCATATTTCCTGAAGTTTGGAAAATAAAGCTTTCAAATGCCTGCAATGTTCCTCAGAATCTTTAGAGGCTATGAGCAAGTCATCGACAAAAGCGTAAACGCCTTCTAAAATCCCGCGTGACTTCATCTATAAAAAACGTTGAAAAGTCGCAGATGCATTGCATAAGCCGAATTGCATACGGATACTTTCGAATATAAACCGAATGGTGTGCATATGGCGGTTTTTTGTGGATGTCGGCTGGGTTAATTGGTATTTGATGGTATGCCTTAATCAGGTCGACATGACTAAAAATTTTAGTACCGTGCAATGCAGCAGTAAAATCGGCTAAACATGGAATAGGGTATTTGTCTTTTATTGTTTGAGCGTTCAATGCTCGATAATCTCCTACAGGTCTCCATTCCAGACTTCCCTTTTTTGGAACCATGTGAAGTGGGGATGCATAATTGCTGCTCGAAGGTCTCAAATGCCCCAATTGCATCATAGTTTTGAAATTCTTGTTTTGCTTTTTTAAGCGATCTGGAGCTAACCGACGAGGTTTTGCAACCACAGGTGGACCTTTAGTTATGATATAATGAACGGTGTTGTGTTTAACAGGTTGGTTAGGATCTGGTAATCTAGTAACTGAAGGAAATTCTTTTAAAATTTTGTGATATGGTGTATCACGAAATACAGTTTTTACTGAATAAATGCGTGCATTTTTCACGCAACCGACGGTTTTAAAATGCGTTTTTAAATCTTTGAGACATTTGTTTCTGAGATCAGGCACCAATTCAAAGAAATGGAGAAAATCTGCTCCAAGAATGGGGTTGTACTAACATTTGCTATAAGAAAAGTCCATGTAAACTGTCATCTTAATTTGAAATCCAAAGAAAGTGTTTTTGACCATAAACATGAACAGTTGGAGATTTAGCAGCGAAAAGTGTTTGTTTGGAAGAAATTCGTTTTCGAGAATTATTTGCTGGAAGTAAGGACACGTCAGAGCCGGTATCGACCAAGAATGAAAGGTTTGTTCTACGGTCACGAACGAACAGGCGACGTGAAAACTTGAGGCAAAGAATAAGTCGCCTCTATTCTTTGCTGGTTTCGTTTCCCTGCCATGAACAAGGTTTTGTACATTTGTCATCTCTACACTTTTTCCCAAAACGTCTATGATACCAGCAAACAGAATAATCTCTCCTTTTGGAATTGCTTCTTTCCTTATTGCGATCTCCGCGATTTGGCGAGCGATCATGAGAAAGAGAAATGCGATCAATACGTTTGTTTAATTTTTCTATTTGTTTAAATAATTTATCCTCAAGAGACTGATCGACTGTGCGAGAAACGGCACAAGTCCCTGGGGTTGGATTTACTTCTAAAATTCTGTCGGCAATTTCTGCAGCTTTATCTACAGTTAAATTGGAAACCGCTGCCAAAAATAGACTGAACAGTCGAAGGCAAACGTTGAAGGAATAATTCTAACATTAAGTTATCAGGAACATTTAAAGATTCTGCTCGACGTTTCATATTTCTAAGCAAATCGGAAGGTTTTCGAGAACCTAATTCTTCTCCAGATAATAATTGGCGAATTTCTTGCTGAGAAGATTCTCCTGAACGATTTATTAACTCAGTTTTAAGCTTTGCATATGGATCAATAGGGTCTGGTTTCATAAGTAAATCCCGTACACTAGTGATGCGATATCTGGAGGAAGATGAGCAACTACATAATTATATTTAGTAATGGATTCTGTGATAGGTTTGGGGGTGGCAAGAGCAAAAGTACTTTTCACACATAATAAACCATAAAGATGGGTCTGATCGGTTATAAACCGGAATTTGGACGGCATAAACATCAGACATTGTGCAAGGTTTTTAAGCCAAAATAAAAGCAAAAATTTAACTAAAGAAAATGAAATTAAATGATAAGTAGAAAACAGAATTATAAAATGATCTATAATTACTACTCATCTGTGATCCGGAGGACGAAAACCGATGTAATCCATTACTTCTGGTTTGGAGATCTTGAGTGATGGCTTGTAGTCAAAACCGAAAGTGCTTGAGAACTGTTCATACGATTTAACACAGTCCAGGTTACCATTATAGAGATTTCCGGTTATGTTTTTACCACCAATCCTCAAATTCCATATCACAGATTATGTTCTTACTGCATTAATATAAATATTAACAAGACATAGTGCACAATAAAAATTAAACTTTATTTAGGAACATCGCGCATACTCCCCGACAGCCTGCCTGTTTCGC